GGAATATGTAAGAGTTCACCTACTTACCAAGTATAAATTATAATTCCCTTTCATTGTTGCATCCTAAGCAAGTTCTGACTGCATCTACATGTACCTCCTCTTCCCTGAAACAGGTCACATAAAGTATATCTTAACCAGACAGATTAGCCAAAAGTAGACAAAATATTGTCAAAGTAAGTGGCAGATAAGCAAACCCTGAGAAAGGGTAGTCATCTGAAGTAGTTTAAAATAAATAATGTGCAGCTGAGAATATTGGCAGCCAAACTCTTTCCACAAAAATTTCCAGTCAAAATGTAGTGTGTATTTCTTCTTTCCTGTCACATATAGATCCTGTTGTCCTCAATGTGACTACCCTAAAGAAGCAGGCCTTTTATTCTGGCAGTGTTTAACAGTGCAGCATGCCAGCAAATTATTAACATAATAATTAAACCTTTCATTTTAACTCAAGTTTATTGGTCTCCCTTTTTCTGATTTGTATACTGATTGCTTTCTTTCTAGAAAGAAAAAAGCAATGCTGGCAGTACTATATGCAACATTCTATAATAGTTTCCTGACACTTCATCTCCCATTTGTCATGCCAGTTTACAATTCAAGTATACTATAATTTTTATAGGAACTTGAAAAGTTAAATATAGCTTTGGATGAAGAGAAACAACGTCTGGAGCAAGTGATTAAAGAATTTCAGAAGGAGCATGAAATTATGAAATTAGAATATGAAGAGACAATTGCAGCCGTGAAGATGGTGCAGCAAGACAAAGAGGCACTCCACAGTACAACACAGAGTCTTCTAGTAAGTACATAAACCATGATACAAAAATTTAAATGTCACACAGAAATTACTGTATTATGCTTTCCTTTATATTTGTCTTTACAGTGGTTTTCACTGTAGCATTTTATTTGTTATTCAAATATATGTTTTGTAGAATAATTTATCAGAACTTGAAGAAGAGAAGAAGAAAATCCTCCAGAATCTTCATCAGACAGAGGATCAAAACAGTCGAATGTCACATGCAACCCAGAATTTGCAAGTTCATTTACAAGGGATTGAAGAAGAGCAGAGATGCCTTTTGGATGAAAAGCAGGAAATAGAGGAGAGGTAAGGTATTGCACTTGCTTGATATTCCAGTGCGCTTTTCGTGCTTCAATCTCAAGTTGCCGTATAAATCAACTTGTACAGTAGAGGCTGTAGTCCTTCAGGGGGTGTCGCACATTTCATATCTGCATTTATATAACGAAAAATAAAAATTACTGGCATTGTCAGTTAAATAGAATTTGTAAGAAACTACTGCAGTTGTATTCAGTTTGTAGATGTTCCAAAAAGAGACCAATGGAGTTATCTACAGATTTACTGAGGTGTCCTATTTCAATGTGGAGGATGAGTCTACCTCTATGTTGCATGGAATGGATGCCATTTTGCCACAAAGTCAAATTTGGTATTTCAATGCAAGTACTTAAAGGTACTGTCCCAAACATTTGCTTGGAGAGACTAAGGAAAACCACAAAAAACCTCAGTCAGACTCTTGTGAAAATTTGGACCAGGTACCTCAGTCACAGTATAACAGAATACTTTCTGTACATTGAAATCCATATTTTATTCTGATGATTCCGATGTGACAGATAGGCAGGTAGAATTGTTTTATAATTTGACCTGTAGGAATAATAACATTCATCCACAGTACTTTGAAATTAGTTCCTACAGACAACAAAGTTTTCTTTGTTGGAACTATGAAACTAGTGTTACATTGTTATCTTTCCAGATTTCAAGAGAATGAACTGAGAGCCAAAGTTTTAGAGGAGGAAAAGCAAATTATTTCTCAAAATTCTAACCAACTGCTGTCTTCTTTAAATGTAAGTTTCATGAACACTGTGGGGCTGTCCCACCACCAGCACCCAAAACCATATACCATTCATGCACAGTTCATTAATCAGACAGCTGTCATGTTAATGAGTCCACGAGCTCATCTTTGTTTACAGTTGAAGGCAGGTCAATGGATTTCTGGACCAAAGTTCTCAGGTTTTTTTATTTAATTTGTATAGCTTTATAGTTTAATTAATGAACAGTTTCACTACTTCAGATTATATAGTTCAGTGAAAAATGAATTTGAAAGGATGTGAAAGGAAGCAGTCATGGCCTGATTTGAGGTACTATTTAACATTTGAAGATTGCTGTCTTCTGGGTTTTTTGCGCCATGTAGTCTGGTAGATCTACCAGACTACAAGGCGCAACAACCCAGAAGACAGCAATCTTCAGACTCACCGCTGTGAAAACCTCAAATCCTACATATTCAACGTTTGCCTGGAGAGACTGAGAGAAAGCACAAAAACCTGTCAGGATTGCCAGATTTTAACTTGGGACCTCTGGAGAATGACTTGAGGATTGAGACTGATCTAATATGATAAGAATCTGTAGAAGTGAAGATTATGCACATAAATTGATATTAAACTACACAATTATCAATTTACAGCTCTTGCTAGCCTCAGTATACAGAGTGAAGGATATGAAGAAAAACAGGGATCATAACTTCTTCCCAGAAACATCTTTAAATATGTGCATTCCCACAATTAAGTTTTGTATGTGATTTGCAGGATTTACTTACACAGAAAGATCTGCCAGAAGCTGAACTACGGCTAGAAGTTTCAGCACGTCTGGATGCAGAGCGGCGTTTACGTCTTGCACAAGATTCAGTGCACCACCTAGAGGGTGCACTACAGACTGACATTAGTCCATCTGCACTGCGCACAAAAATACTTCCAGATGTAAAGAAACTGCGGAGTGAGTATAGAAGAAGTGTGAGAGGAACTCCTGATAATGTAGACAAAGATCACATGAAACATGTTAGGATACATAGTAGAAGCTTCACCATGTCTTGTCTGTCCATGTGTAATAAGAAATGCTGAACAGCCCTTCATGAAATTTGAAATTGGGGAGTGGTGACTTGTCCGTGATGACAAATCACGTGGCCAGACAGGCACCAGATACTCTGCCAATGTGAAGGTCACAGATCACACTCAAGTCTGATGTCAGTGGCAACATTAATGATGGCCAGAATTATATGTGATGAAATATTTATATAAAATTAATTAGAATATTTGAAAATAAATGTAAAAATTTCTGTATCAATATACTACAGCTATTGTCCAGGAAGAATACTATTTTGATTTCATCCAATGACATTTTTTAATACCACTTATGCCAACTATGATGTTCTGCAGCCATAAAAATTTACAGATGAGATAAGAAGATGCCACATTGAGAAAGAATAATCAGTTGTGATCCACCAGTAAATTTCAAGTCATAATGTCTGATAAAATAAAACAACCTGTTCATAGGAAGTAGGAAGCAATTTGAAGACCATTTATTTTCTTGGTAAGGTTGGGGACTAAGAATATTTTTCATTCATATTAATTTGAATTCCCTTGTTGTTTTTTCAGAATTCTTTGAACATGTTGCTGAAGAAGCACGGTTAGATGCCAATATGCCTGTAATAATGAAGAATGCTGTTTATGCCCGCAAGACATTAGCCAAAAAGGCACGAACTCAGATGCTGGAGCAGAGCAGGCAGGAAAATGCCAAGACATTGGGTAAAACTGAAAGTGACGTTTACTATTATTTGTTTGACTTTGACATGTTATTTTGCACGGTATTTCCTACATGTTAATGTTTGCATGGTGTTGTAGATAGTGTCAATGGAATGAAAAATATTGTTTTAGGTATCGATCTTGATGGTATACCTACTTCTGATGCACCTTTAAAGAGGTCTTTATCAATTATGATTTCTAAGAAAAGTTTAAAACCTCATCTTACTCGGACCAAGTCAAGTAGATCATCAAACTGTAAGTATACATACTTCATGGCTATTATGAACCACAGTATTCTTGCAGTTACCATTAATCTTTATGTTACCAGTAGACAAGGATAGCTCAGTTGGCAGAGTACTGGCTATGGGCTGAAAATCGGGAACTAATTTTTGGCAGGAGCAGACATTTTTCTCTTTATCAACACATCCAGACCATCTCTCATGCCCACCTAACCTGCTATGTAATGAATACCAGGTGACCTTTCTACATGGGTACAGTGGTTTGAACATGAACCTCACCACTCACCTCTATTAACTGCCCAGTTTATGGATGTATGGACCTTACTTCTGTTTCTCCTTCCTTCATGGATTGGTGCTTAGGCAGAGGCACAATTTTGTCTTTATCTTCATTGATGTTATTTATTATTGTATCAGATTTTTAGCAACTTATAACATTTCATTCCAACACACTCACTTATAAACCTTTTAAATTTTACACATATTAATATGTATGTTCTTAGCCATACAATGCACTTGAGTACCAACATATTTCTTTCTAATAAAAAAATACTGGTGGATTTTCAATTTTGTTAAAACATATGTCATTATTACAGTAAAACCTGCTCACAGGATCCCAAGAGACGTGAAACCGTTTGTGTTTCAGACAAGTTTCTACTGAACAAAAATTATGTAAAACATATCCTCAGTATTTATGATCAAACTGGCAAGTCAAAAATTTGCTGGGCAGTGTATGTTTACAGTTTTCTTTCCTTTTACTTTTTCCAATAGTCCAGTAAAGTATTCTGCACATATTTTTTTTGTGATGGTTGGGCTTAATTCTTTCCCATTCGTGAAAGGAATGTTTCTTCTTAGAGAAATTCTAGGAAGCACAGTACAGAAATAATATTAAAAACAGAAAACAAATATTGAAGAAAGTTCTTTTTCCTTTCAGTTTTTATTTAAAAAGTTTTAATTTATTTGAGGCAATGTAGTATAAGTGTTCTCTCTGTATTTTTCGAACCAGATAAGTTTTCATGAAGAGGGACATGATTTTGTAGTTCGGAAAGGACTGCTTGTTACTTGAAAAGAACAGTAATGAAAATGTTTATTCATAAACTTGCTTAATGTTTTTTTTTCCAGGCATATCAGTCAGTGTTCAAAACAGTGATTCTGATGAGAAATCACCAGAAAAGGAAAATGGCCTGCCTTCCTGCTCTTGAAGATGGATTAGCGACTCTAGAATAAAGGAGGAAGACATTATGCTAACTCCTTTCTTTGGCCTTGATTTGATTTCATTCACCTCAGTGCTGTCTTCAGCAGGGTTTTGTTGCATTTATATTCAAAACCTCATCTAGCCACATTCCATTTAGAGAAATGTTAGGTAACACAATTTAACAGTACTTTGAGGGGAAGTGCATTGGTATAAACAGGCAACATCAAAGTAATATATTTGTTTAAAAGAATTAAAATACAGATAATGCCAGTGCACTGAAGATGGATAAGATTGTTAAATACAGACAAATTCCAGTCTTTCACCTTGCATTGTAATGAAAGACAACACTGACTGAATCTGTATTATTTATGGCACCGGAATACTATAACACATCACAACAGTTGTTTCCTTAATATATTCTCTCTCATTTATCAAGAAATTTTAAGCCAAATTCCTCAAAGATAATCAATGTAATTAAAGTGGAACTTCAAAAATGTCAGCACAATAGAGTGTACTATGGGAATATAAAGTTGACATAAACACATTCAGACCTGGATGCAGATTCTATGAGTGAGTACATGTAACCATAATTTTAATACACCATAAAATATCAATATTAAAGAGATTTTTTAATGTTTTATGAACTGTTATCTAGTGGAACCATATTCTGACAGCTGTCTACTCACTGTGATATAAATTATAAGAAGTTATAATCCCTGACTACAGGACTGAATGCGTTACGATGATAAGCTTCATACTGCATATTCTAGCACTTAACACCGTTGTTGTGATCTCAGTATGAAAAAATGCCTTTTGAGGGGAGAAATTATGTCCTTGTTTGTACCATGTTCATGTTTTACAAGTCTGGATAATTATAAAAATGTCAATTACATGCACAGAAATTTGTTTTGAAGACTGAACTCTTCAACTTCAAAACCTGTTTTCTCAAATATTGTTTCTGCCCTTGCCAGTTTTATCATACACAGAATCTATCTGTAACATTTAATTATATTTAAAACTGTGATGTGTTTGGTAATAGATTGCATTGCACTTTGAACTGTAACACTCATATATTCTAGTACCTACTAGTAATACCCTTGGTGGCAGATTTCATTTCTGCACATGAATCTCATATGTTTAGCAAATATTTTCATAGCTCTTATTTAGGTGCTAAAACTTGCAACAGATGTTGCACAGTGTATATTGTTTCAAATTGTTATCCTAGGTATAAAATGAATATGCCATATGTGAGCAACTGACACATTCCTAACGTTGAATTCCAGTCACCCAACTGTAGATGTATAAGTTGTTAATGTGATATGCCTTAGTCTGAATATCAGGTAACCTGTTTACTGTAATCAGTATCCCAAGACTGAATGTAATTTTGTAAAGAAAAATATTTATCACAGTAAAAGTATTTATCATTGTTAATGACTGTTGTTCTGTGATGTGATAATATTTTTCTTACTATCTTTTACATTACCTGGTACTTCTGTATTGAAACACACAGGTATCTCAGAAAACATATGCAATATCCCCACCACCACCACCACCACAAAAAAAAAACACCACTAGACACCAACTGATTTTCAAGTCACAGTATTTCTCAGCATGTAATGCTTCACATTCACAGAGGGGAAGAAAGATAGATATTCAGAATCTGTCCATGATTTACATTTAATTGTTTACAGAATACTTCTTCTGCCGCCCATCTGTTATGCAACAATCTTGTATATATCAATTATCCTGCAAATTCTCCATTTGGTGCCTTTTGTCTGCCAACAATACCAAAAAGACAGGCAAACATGGGGTGGTAACAACACTAATAACATCAATGTCAAGTCTTCAAAGTGAATCACTAGGTGACTGAAAGCAAGTAATGGTCTCTTAAACCAAATAATAGTAAATTAGGAATTAACATGGAAATTATAAAAAATGTGTTGGTATGATAACTATAACTGATAATCAAACTGAATTTCATTTGTGGAATTCAAAAGGCAGGATTAACACACATACTTGTAGAATGAGGCCTTGTTCTTCAGAGTCTTGACCAATGGCAAGCACATGTAAATAAATTAGCTGTGACGTTTTCACAAAGCAAGGAACCAGCATTGTAAATTCCTGAACTACATCTCTTTTTGACTGATTTTTAAGTTTGTTCAGGGTGTAACTATCTTTATTTGCAACATAGACACTTGTAAATTAGTTGGTGTTGGTGGTAATCACTGTCCATGGAAGGCTGTCAGGTGTTCTTGTTGGCAGTGTGTAGCTGGACATGTGCCAAAGCATCACTACTACTGTGTCAAATGTGCTCATTAGTACTTAAATATGGCATCAGCAGGTGATAGGTGTTTATATTATGGCTATGCCTTAAGCTAGTGCTAATCACAGAATGTGAATGTTTAAACCATCAATTGAAGTTTATCATGGTGTCTGCACTGACTAGCTGGCTGTGCATCACATTAGCAAACCATTAAACCATTAACCCCAAAGTTAAAATCTGGCTGGCAGTCCCGTAGTATGGGAGTTCATAGTTCATATTCTCTATTCACACATGATAAAGGTTAAACTGTATTGACTATACTGCAGTGTTTGATTTTGACCAAATTTGTTACAGTGAATTCTCACTAAAACTTAGCCCTTGGTCTGTAGCAGTAAGTCCTTTCTTTCTTGCCTAATTTATACGTTCTACTCAATAATACTTGGATTTGTTGACAATATGTACAGTTTAACAGAGAAAATATTAGTTGTTGGTTTAATAATATTTTTAAGTTCTTCTACCAGTCTGTCACTTAGGGTCATCACCTAAAGTTTGTTATATTTATGCAAATTTCCAGAACTGAAAAATGATTAATTTTTAATTTGGTTATTTTATGAAGCTATATCAACTCCTGGTTATATGCAGTCTCAAATAAGATACAGCTAGATGTTTGTGAATTTGGAGGGATGTGGAAGAAGTGGTCATGATTAAGTTCTATCCTACAGAGACTGAACAAAACATTGATCAGTATAGCTAAATTCTATGAACAGAAGTTATTTTCATATAACTTTTAAATCATAAAATGTGAAATATAAATATATTTCAGTTCATGAAATAGTATTTACTTAACTGATATTTAAAGAATGGCTTCATAAGGAACTAAATGGTACTGATTTCATATTCCTATTTCTGTGACTCCCAAAGAATAATAAGATTATATAAATCATAATTTTGTATTTCATATTTACATGTATTTATTTATGATTCTAAATGTTCACAAAACAATGCAGATAACTTGCATTTGTTCTGTGATGTACACTGCTGTATCCAATATCTGGAATCTACACCAAAATACAACTTCAGTGAAATCCTAACCTCCAAATTACAATGAACATAGGAAGTCATAAAATTGCAAAGTTTCTGAGTGAATACACAGTCAAAAAAGTGAATGGCAGCAGGCTGGAGAGCTAGGGTTTGATTCTTGGAAGGGAGAGGGAATTTTGGCATAATGTGTTGACACACTAGGATGCATGTGAACACATAACATTGTATGTATATTTGGGCTGTTACAAAGGTGATCACCTTAAGTGGGACTCGGAGTGAGTTAACATAATAAGTTTGACATTTTTTAATTTGTGTTACACACAAAACTCAATCTGTTTGGCGTGACAGGAATTTCAACAACCAGTCCCCTGCTTCTCTGGCAGCACTATTACTTTCATATCATGCCAAATGAAGTTCAGGACAAACAAGCAAGTTAAAAAATGAACTGTCCTCCTCACTCCTTTTTTGTTACTGTATACAATGAACCCTAATTAAACTCCTGTAATATAAAAATTTTATATAGAAAAACAATGTACATAATTGATGCACATACACATTATTTTTGTAGTTACATTTATAGCTGAAACAGCACAAAGTCTTATAAATGCAATACAGAAGAATGTTTTAAGTTCCATGTGTTCAGAACATTTCTTGTAAGCTACATTTCAAACAAAATGTCCTACTCAAATTTTATTGTGATTTTCATGTGTGATCTATGTATACTTACTTGGCTGTGGAACATTCTGCTGGTATTACCAGGTATAATCATGTATTTTACTGTTATTATGTGACTGTTTCATTTCATTTCATTTTGAAACCTGCACCAACCATTTTAACCCCCTTTAAGTCCTTTGTCCCATGGCACATACTGAATTGTTGTCACATTGTGGATATTTAATATAACATATTTAAATTAGAAGAGAGGCTAAAGTGCTTACAAGAACAAGATTCCACAGTCATATGAAAGATGGAAGATAATAATACTGAGATGCAAGGGGATACAGCCAATATCTGTACTGCAAGGAAGTTTGGATTTGGTATCCATCCTTTCAGTGATTACGTGGGAAATCTATCTCTTGTAAGTGCTTTTTGATTTCTCAACTAACTTACATACCTTACAGGTCTCATCCTTGGGGGTGGGTTAACACATTCATATAGGAATCCTCTTGTTCCTTGTGGCACATACTTGATTTTTGGTTCAAAAATGTATGATTCCCATCCTACTGTAGCAGACAGCTTGCACAACCTGTACAAAACAATAACATGAATGCCTGCAATGTATTTATAGTAATTATTTCATCACGGAAACATGTCTCTCACACCACTTTTCCTATTATATGTCAATGGAAAACTTACTAATGCTATGATGAGATGTACTACAGAAGAAATGGTTTGAGAAATGAGAAGATGGATGAAAAAACACTCAGGCATGAGGAACAACTACTGTCTCTACTATGAGGTTGTCAATTTGGTAACTTGGGTCAAATAGCAAAAAGCAAACAGCAAAAATAACAGTTTTGTCACATTCACATGCTTTATAATGACTAATAAAAATAGAATTATGTCAAATCATCTCAACTTTCTGGCCAAAGATAAGTATGCTCTAAATAGTTCTCAAATCATATAATAATAAAAATAACATTTAAATTTCATTACTTTAATAAGATTTTGCTGACAATGAAGAATCTAGTACTTACATAACCTAACAAATGGCTTTCTTCATGACTCATTGCCTTCAACATGCAGCATGGTTCATTATCATTTTCTGAAAAAAGAAATGGTTACATCAGTTGAAATGCTATGTGAACTTACAGGTAATATTTAAAAATTCAGCCTGTCCTTCAAAGAAAGAACAACATTTCTCCATTATAACCATCAACTGGTTCATGCCTGTTTTCACTGAGAATCATATCCACAAATATGACGCAATACATATGTATTGCCCTGAACACAACTATAATAAAATCCTACCTTAAATAAAAATTAGCCACTGAGTTAATATAAAATATTTATATGGTAATAGAGTTCACTTACCATCTTTCTTCTCATTTAACTCTTGAAAGTAGAGTTTAATTTTTATACCTGACTTTCTTTAGATACATATCAATGTTGTTGCAGTAATCGTTATACTTGATGCACAAACAGAATATAAAAATTGTGGAGTCAGATACAAGAGACCATATGGAAGGACAGAAGAGAACAGAGAAAGCTCTGTCGTGACATGACTCATCCTGGCAGATGATTTTATATGAATCCATATTAAGCTTTCGAAGTTCAATGGGAATATACATTCTGGGTTGTTGATTAGGACATGTTCAACATACTTACCTTAACAGGATTAAGTATATGCGTAAGTTGAAGTCCGAAACTACGTAGAACCACAAGCGGAGTGAGTGTCGTTCCATATAATTTCTGTAAGCCATCAATTGTCAACATCATTGGCAAATTATGTCTTTGTCTCAAAGTCTCATACTTCAAAAGATGAGGCAGACTCCCTGAAAACAAAATTACATTGGGGAGAAAGTTATCAGAGCAAACATTGTAAGATTTTAAATTGTTAGCTCACTTAACCTGAACATATTGCAACACATGCAATATATACAGGTATGAGCATTATGAATGCCAAGTTTCAAAGAATGTCCATGGAAACTTTGTGTACTCTCATAGCAAGAAGAGCATCAACCATGGAATTATCCAAATTTCAAAGAACTGAACTGAGCCACCTACCAAGTAAACTGCCATTGAATACTGCTTCAGAGAGCAACTCGGAAAGGCAACGGACATCTCCAAACCCCAAGTTAACTCCTTGACCAGCCAATGGGTGAACCCTGTGGGCTGCATCTCTGAAAATATTCAAGATGACCAGTCTTAGTAAAGTAAAACTTGCTTACAATGGAATCCAATTTGAAAATTTAATAAATAAATAACTTCACAATATTCAGTTTCCATTATGAAGGTTAAAACCTGTAAAATATTTTCAAATATTAAGATGCATTTAAGAATGTTTTACTTTTGTTCTCTGATTTTAATGGAGTTATTAAATATCCCTTGTACAAACATTTGTATGGACAAGTGGCTAGTAGATTTAACTTGTACTTACAGAGTACTGGTAATCAAGACATTCTGTTCACTCACCCAACCAATGCAACTCCTTTACCGACATAGCGTGTAGCATGACCAAACCCAAGAGGGAAAGCAGCTCTACTGCCCTCTACGACACTGGATACACTTGGGTGCAGCTGTTGCACAGTACTGGACCTCTCAAACAGTGATTCAAGTAATCCATTGAATCTCTGCGTTGCTACATCAACGATCTTATCTCGAGGAAGTTTCTTCCACTGTAAATTCATTTAAAAATGTTACACACAACCACATTTTGTCT